TCTTGCCTCACCTCAAAAAGGACATTGCAAGGTTGGGAAAAGGTTCAAAAAGCAGCAACCCAAATGAGGAAAGCTTGCAGCATTTGAGTCTCTTTTTCCCCGTTTAGAGGCAGCAAGTAAGAGGCGGCCTGCTAGAATTGTATAAAATTATGCAGCACATAGACAGTGAATAGAGGAAAGTCCTTCTCTCGCTCATAATGCTAGATTGCGCTGACATCCATTGAAGCTGAACGCTGGAAGATTCAGGAGAGACAAAAGAAAGTACTTATTCACCCAGCATATAATTAAACCATTCAATTCACTCCCACGAGAAACAGTGATAGCCCCCGAAAGAGGATTAGACTAATTCACGGAGGACAAGGCTATCAATGGCTACTAACTATGATTGCTGTTTTCTGCCTCCGCTGTCAGAGGCAATAGGCTTCTGAATACTAGTTGCTGGAAACTACAGGAAGGGGAAAGTGTTGTCGCTCTCAGTTTCTACTTGCATGCTTCGCGTGGGCATTTGGTTGGCCACAGTGAGAACAGGATGCTGGGCTGGATATACCGTGGGCCTGATCCTGCAGGGCTTTTCCGTCTGTCCTTAACTAGCATGGCTTTGCTGTAGCCTAGCACGCCTGGGGAGGAGAGAATGAAAGAAGCGAGGGAAGAACTGGAGGAGGGGAGCAAGATGAAAGAACGCAGAAGCGTGGCTCATCCTTACTCTGCCAGACAGGGATGATATTTGGCCTTAGTTGTATGACTTGTCTCAGTTAGCTCTCTGCTCCTGAGGTCTTTGACATGGCAGCTGCCCAAATGGTGCCTCATTAACTAGGTACTAGACTGTTCTTAGATGGGATGTGGGTGGCGCTGTGGGTTAAACCACAGAGCCTGGGACTTGCCAATCAGAAGGTCGGCGGTTCGAATCCCCACGACGGGGTGAGCTCCCGTTGCTCGGTCCCTGCTCCTGCCAACCTAGCTGTTCGAAAGCACATCAAAAGTGCAAGTAGATAAATAGGTACCGCTCTGGTGGGAAGGTAAACGGCGTTTCCATGCATTGCTCTGGTTCACCAGAAGCGGCTTCGTCATGCTGGCCACATGACCCAGAAACTGTACGCCGGCTCCCTCGGCCAATAAAGCGAGATGAGCGCCGCAACCCCAGAGTCGTTCACGACTGAACCTAATGGTCAGGGCTCCCTTTACCTTTAGACTGTTCTTGCTACCCCTTACTTATGTTTGGTCAGACATCTTCTGGTGCCCCCTTATATTCCCAGCTGTTGGATTATATTGCCTTCCACCACCAGAGCCTTTTCAAAAAGCACACATTGCCTAGAATGTTATTTTAACAGGCTATTCATATGTTCTAAAAGAACTAGAATGTTTCTGCCAGTTTTACGTGCACCTGCCCATTTGTGATAGATGGTTTCTGTTAAGCAAGTCTTGCTTAGCTTAGTTCATCTCTGTCTGCACTCCCCCTTCAAGCTAGTTCGCAATCCGTCGAGACATCTTCATGCATTGGTCACTGATGTGTGAAAGGTGGCGCACAGCTATTCTTTGTGCTTGATCAGCATTATTCTCTGAGAGAGACTGAGCCCACAATCCCGAGAGGAGGAAACATAAAGACTAATCCGGGGACAATGAAGACGGAGTGCGAGAAGCAAGCCAGCTTTTAACAAACTGCAACGGGAGGAGGTCTGGGCTGGACCTGCCTTTAGAAACAGGATCCAAATGGATTTCTAATTGATGGACTATTTGGCTGCTCTGTTCCCTGTTCTGTTGAAATAGAATCATTAGAAAGCTGATCTGCCTGCCTTTTTGCACCGACTTTGTTGCTGTGTTCCTCCGTGAGAACATTCCCTCAAGGCAGTGGCTTTCAGACTTTCTTCCTGCACAGAATCCTTCCAAACCAGTTCTGCTGAGAAACCCATAGGTGCTGCTATGGAACCTTTCTCTCTTACTGAAGAACCTGGGGAGCATTTTAGGATGCACACAGCTTCTCTTGGGTCTCTCTGCTAACACATGTGAATGGCAGATGCTCTCGAGAACACATCCAGTGCTCTTTCTGCAGAGGGGGTTCCATAGTTCACCTGTAGAGGAAATGTTTGGCACATAGAGGGTTCTGCCTTCAGTCTCCAGCAGAAATCTTTTTCATTTATTTTTATTGATTTTAACATATAAATTATAAAATGTACCACAAAACGTATCACTTATACAATCTTTTTAGAATTCCATCAGCACCCCTGATGATCCACAGTTTTAACCACCTCTTAACTTTATATTGCCCTTACATCTCTTAACAAATCTTCCTTCCCCTTCTCCATTTTTGCAATACTTCCAATAATACTCCTCACAAAACTTCTTGCAAACCTACAAACGTCGTCTGATCTTCACAAATACTTTTCAAGTAGTCCGTAAATTTACTCCAGTCTTCCGTGAATTTCTGGTCCCGCCGGTTTCGAATCCTTCCTGTTAGTTTATCTAGTTCTGCATAGTCCTTTAACTTCATCCTCCATTCTTCAATCATCCGTAATCCTTCTTGCTTCCATTTTTGGGCCAGTAATATTCTTGCTGCTGTTATTGCATAGAAAAAGAGCTTACATTCCTTTCTATTTATATCACTCCCCACAATGCCCCGTAAAAATGCTTCTGGTTTCTTTATGAATGTATATTTCAACATTTTTTTCAACATCAGTCTCCAGCAGAAATCTAATGGCATTCGCCATGACAGCTCTCATAGCAGACCAGAGTCCGAAACGCCATCCTTTTTAGAAACGCACATAAACCCCAAAAGCAGCAATACACTGCATAAAGCTCCATTTATTAGGATCAGCATGAATACAATCCTGTGCATATTTTCCCTGGAATAAGCTCCATTGAAGCGGGAGATGCTGCTAAATGATTGCATTGGTTCAGCTTGTAAAACACATTGAGCTTTACCAAGAGATCTTCAGCCGGCTGAAATGCAACCAATAGCATTTAATTAAAAACACAAACAATCTCGCAAAGAAGCGTTGTCATTAAAACGCTGGCAGGAAGTAGGAACTTCATCAAAGGAAAGAAAATTAAGCATCCCGCCTCTGCTTGGTTTTCCTCTGTCTTCCTCCATGGTGATAAGTCACAAACAAACTTGAAAGCTTTGTTATCCCTTCATTGGCTTGCCTGGACAAGGAGAGTTTGCATTCATCAGGGTGTCCAAGAAGATGACTCTGTCTCTCCTGCTCTAAACTCCCCCTTCACTGCACCACTGATCTCCAGCAGAAATATTCTTGTCTGGGACCTTGGAGAGTGCAGTAAAGGCAGTCAGTGCTGGGCTGGCTGGACCAGTGTAAGTGAAGAGCTCTCTATTCGTCTAACAGGAAAGTATCCACAGATCACAGGCTAAGCACACACTTCACATGCAGAAGTTTCCTGCCTTCGGTTGCCAGCTGAAAAGGACCTGAGGTAGCTGGAGATGGGAAAGAGTCCCATCTGGGTCTTTGGAGAGTTGCTGTTAGTCAGAGCAGGCAGTCCTGGTCTAGATGGCATTGAGTGGTGGCCAAGCTTTCTATCCAGGAAGCTTATTTGTCATGACTGATCTTCTCATTGAGGAACTCCCCGCCACAAGTTTCCAGTAGCCATAGGGGTTTCCTGAACAACACGGCATTAAGGAATTTGCAAATTTGGCAACAACTACCTGTCAACAACACAGACAGCCAAACCAACCCACTCCACTCACCTGAACACCTGTTTTTCTTTAAGAAGTTGCTACCGCGTTTCACCATTGGGCCAGTTTCTTTGGCTAATTACCTCTTGCATACCAAAATCTGGTCCTATCGAAGTTGAACACTAGGGATTTCCTCCTACCCAACCAATGAAACACCAGAATCAAAGCCAAATTTTATATGCGTTCTAAGTTTAACTAATTTTCCAAGTTCACCCCTAACGCTGAAATCCAAAATGCTGAGAATCCAGTTGTAAACCTTTACATTTCTGGGCAGGGGATCTTACATTCACCCACTGTCGAAAATTCACAAAGGCAGCAATCCTATACGTGGTGTTAAGTCCAATTGAACTCGGTGGCACTGACTTCTATAAAAGTACAGGGAATTTAAGATGTTGGTTTCTGGTTCTCTAGAGTCTTTTGTTTGAGAACTTGAAATCACACACACACAAATCAGAAATACAAAGTTTATTTGAGTATATGTGTACACCCTATCTTGTTGGCTTAGAGCTTAGTTACAGCCTTTTCCTCATCTTAAAAAACACCATTTATTATCAGATGTTCTGCAAACATACACACAGAGTCAGTGTGAAGGGGTGGCAGCTTCAGGAATCTGCTGGCAGCCCACACTCCAGGTGGAGTCCCACTGACAAGAGCCCCTGGACATGCTGTATTGCAGAGGTAGATAAATTGAGGGATGGGAGCCCATGTAGGGGAACTTGCCCAAGGCCTTCTGAAACCTTGGAGCTGATGCTATATGCATAACCCCTTGGCAGCTATTACAAATGTAGAACCAGCCATTGTTCTTGGCTTTCACCAGTTTTGACCCTGCTTCTTAAAAGCATTTCATTGATCCCCAAGTGGTTGAGGACTGGAATCTTAATACCGCATTTACAAACAACATCGGGTGCAAGCCAAACCTTCTGGAATTAATGGCAAACGTCCCATTGAGATTCTCAGAACTACAGTAGGGAGGAAAATGTATGGAAGAAATTGGGACATAAGGATGGAACAGTCTTTACTTTCACATTGCACAGAGCAGGGCAGACTCCCTGCCTCATTTCACTAGTCTTACCGGAATTATTTTCATTTCCCTCAGACTTCCAACAGATGTTTTGCCTGAGCTGGAGCCTCCAAATTCTCTCCGAATTTCACTACAAGTGAAATTCGATGGGAACTCTACCTATGCCATGCATTCACAACTGGGAGATACATGGGGTGGGTGTCTTGTAGATGCTACTAGTACTGACTTTTAATACCCGTACAATGCTCTTGCACTTTTGTATCTCATCCTATAACCTGCTAACCTTTGTCTCCTTAGGTTTGAAGACCATCGTAGGTGCCCTTATCCAGTCAGTTAAGAAACTTGCCGATGTGATGATCTTGACCGTTTTTTGCTTGAGTGTTTTCGCCCTCATAGGGCTCCAACTCTTCATGGGAAATCTGAGGCAGAAGTGTGTCCGGAAGTTTAACACCACCATTAACGGCACATTCATACCGGACGAGGCGAGGTGGCCATCCTTAGATGCTTTTTTAAATGATGCAGGTAAGATGCTCTCTTTGCTTCTGTGTTTTATGGTTTTTGCCAAATGCAAGTTTCTTCACTTGCATTTATTATGAAAATAAATAAATCCAAGTTTGACACCATGCGGAAACTCAGAGCTCTGTGCCAAGAAGGCTCAGCATTGTGTATGGAAACATTTAAAAAGCCAACTAGCAACTTTTAGCAGTGTTTGTTTGTTTGTTGGGATACTTCCAGGGGTGCCTCATCCTATATGAGGTCTCCTAGATGCTAAGATATTCAGAGGTGTTTTTCCTTTGGGTCCTTCTGCTGTCTGGGCTAAGGTGGGCTAAGGAATGATAAGGAGCAGGGCCTCCTCTGTGGTGGCTTCATAGCCAAGGAAGCTAGTTGGAACAGCTCAGTAGGGATATTTAGGAAGCTGCTGAAAACTTTTCTATGGGGGCACATTTTTGGGAGCAGAATGGTTGCTGCTGCAGCATTATTAGCATTTGCAGAGTGTCAGGGGTCTTGAACCAGAGACTCGGGTGAAGCTGGCCTCCAGGGAGAGAAACAACCAGAGGATGGAACTGAGGATACCAGCTCAGCAAACGTCAGGCTACAAAAAGGACCAGTGGAATTGTACCATAACGCTTCTGATTCTGTTCTAGTGCCTGAGGAATTCTGTTCTCTGGCTGTATCTTTCCCCACTGATCTATTATGTGGCTTCGCTGCCCCAGTGTTTGACTGCCTCACAGTTTTCCCAGGGTTCTGTTCTACAGGAACCCAAGGCTGCCTGGGAGAGCTGGGCAGTGCCCCTCCCAGAGGCCGAGGCAAGAGTTCAAGACCCACAGAGCACCTTCAGGACCTTGGAGAGCTCCATAGTCACATAGAGGTAGCCTGATGAGCCTCTGCCTCTAGGAGCACCTTGCTCAAACTGAAGCCTAAAATATGATGTCTGGATTGTAGTGAAGCAACTCCCCAGAGGAGGGGACCTGCTGTTAAAGGGCTCTCACCTAATTATGTGAGGCACCTGTGTGGCTGAGGAGATGCTCCTGTATCGGACGAGGATAGTATAGCTGCATCTTCTGGTTGGGAAAGCGCTGAAGTTGGTCCTGGCAGTTCTTCACCCAAGTGCCTCTTCCCCCTTTGTGTCCATTGCTCCATGCCTGGCCTCTGAGTTGTGTGTCATGGCACCCAGCTTTAAAACCTGATTGTGGCTGCGTGCCTCCAAGCTGCCACCCATTGCCATGCGATCTTGGCTGCCGTGGTGTTTATTGGCTTGTTGGTTTTAAGATGTTTTCTGATTACTGTTAGCGCCTGTGAGGTACTGCTTATAGGCTAGCTGGCAGGGCTGTAGCTTTAGGATGAATGGGCGAATGAAACAGTTTGAAATCTTTCGGGATTTGAAGGCTGAGCAAGATGGCAGGAGGGTTAAACAAAGGGCAATTAGTTCACCAAGAAAGCAGCTCAGAGGATCAAGTATTTGTATCTTGCTTTGGCCTGGACATTAACAGAAGCCAGTAGCTGTCACTGGGCAAGTTAGTTGCTCCGAGCCCTTGGGATGTGTGCCTGTCAGGGTTCAAAGGATAGATGAGCCAGAGAAGCTTTGTGAGAAGTGATTTTAAAATGTGTGTGTGTGTGTGTGTGTGTGTGCGCGCGAATGCTACTGTTGCTTTGGGATTGCATCCCAACTGAGCATCATGAACCACACTTTGGGTGGCATCCAGCAAAGGAGCGATGTTCACACAAGGATTTCCATTTGGGCAGTGGAACTTGCCCTGTCTTTCCCCCAATCCCAAATCTAACCTGGAGGATTGAGGAAACCCCAGAACAGATTTAAGTGGTGCATGGGAATGGGGAGGGGAATTTCCATGGCACAGCTAGATATTATTGTGCTAATGTTGCTGCTCCATTGCATGCCACCCTTCATTTCTCTGCCTGCGATAAAACCCTTCTTGTGGCTCCCCCTCCCCTTTTCCGTCCATTGCATGCACCTGTAACTGAACCAGGCATGATTTAATGCAGAAAAAGGAGCAGGGATATAAATGTTTAAGATAAATGATGATAAGAAATGAATAGTAGCGTCCCTGTCCCTTCAAGAACACACAGCATTACCTTCTCCCCATCAGTGGGAACACTGCATTGATTACACTGCTGCCTATCTACAAACTTCCTGGCCAGCAACAAATATGCAATTCCAGACTCTACATCTAGATCAGTCCCAGTTTTATCAGGACAATGAAACAAGCAAACAAAAGCATTAAAAAGATGCATGTCTAGGCAGGCGTCTTGTGGAAGGGTAAAGAAATCAAATTAATAGATGAAGGATTGCAATACTCTGCTGCAAAACTAGTCTGTGCAGGGATCCTGAAACAAGAAAACTATTGTGAGAGTGAGTGTCTGATTCGAACAGGAAGTCAGGGCTGGAATAATAATAATAATAATAATAATAATAATAATAATAATAATAATAATAATAGAGATTCCCTGCTGAACCATGCCTTTGAGGTTTCAATCTCATAGCTGTTACTTTCCCTTTATGAATACATTTAACAGAGCTGCTGCCTTTAAAAAACAAAAACAAACAAACAACAAATATCGCTTCTTTTTAATGGCAACACATTCACCCAAACCTCAGCAGGAGTGCCATTCCTGGCATGCTAGAAAGGGTACATCTGTTGAATTTCTGCCTATTGTGCAGCTGTTTAAAAGACAACAAGCCTGGGAACGTGGGTCTCTAACTGGTGGTTCAATACCAACAATTAGGGGATAGCTCAATGAAGATGTCAACTCAGCGTGCAGCCACCATGAAAAAGGTGAATTCCATGCTAGAGATCGATAGAAAAGGGAGCTGAAGTAAAAGCTGCCGATATCATCAAGCCAATATACAAATCTATGATGCAACTGCTTTTGGAATACTGTGTGCATTTCTGATTGCTGTGCCTCATAAAGGATATTGTAGAGCAGGAAAAGGTGTAGGAAAGGGCAACCAAGGTTATTGTGGCAGGAAGAACTCCCCTGTGAGTAAAGGTTACAATATGTAGGACTTTAGAAGTGTTTTTTCCCCTTAATGAATGTGGACTCACATGCATGAACTTGCAGCTGCCATGCTATCAGCACACACCACAGAGTGAGCCCCATTGAATTCAGTGGTGCTTAATTCTGAATAGACATGCTTAGGAATGTGCTATGCAGTGCTCTGCATTGTAACACTCACAGCCTCTCAATACCTGTGCTGGAGAGGCTCATTCTGAATGGTTGTTAGCCAATTGCAGGACAGTATTTTCCTAGGAACAGAACACCTGCCTTGCTTTTGAAACAGCACAGAGCAATCCACTTCAGGGTGAATGAATACAGCAGCCAGCAAGCATGGCATTTTTCAGCATGGTAACTAAAGGGCTCAGGCAACAGTCCTTGGTGTAAGAACTGGGATGTGGTGAAACCTGCTCCTGTTTTCACCCGTGAAATGTTAGAGAGCATGGCCTCTGTCTGCCTCAGGAGGCAATGGAGGAGTGTGCCTTTGGGGGTGAGGTCAAGCTGTTGGAGGGTTGCAGCACCTGCTGTGGCTGTAGAGACTGATGTGGGAGAGACATGTTTTGTTGCAGCTGGGGCAGATGAAGGCAGGTGAAGGGGGTTTGGACTGGGTGTCCATCAATATGCAGATGATACCCAGCTCTACCTCTCTTTCAAATCAGAACCAGTGAAGGCGGTGAAGGTCCTGTGTGAGTGCCTGGAGGTGGTTGGAGGATGGATGGTGGCTAATGGATTGAGGTTGAATCCTGACAAGACAGAAGTACTGTTCTTGGGGGACAGGGGGCGGGCTGGTGTGGAGGACTCCCTGATCCTGAATGGGGTAACTGTGCCCTTGAAGGACCAGGTGCACAGCCTGGGAGTCATTTTGGACTCACAGCTGTCTATGGAGCCGCAGGTCAATTCTGTATCCAGGGCAGCTGTCTACCAGCTCCACCTGGTACGCAGGCTGAGACCCTACCCACAGACTGTCTCATTAGAGTGGTGCATGCTCTACTGGAATGCACTCTACATGGGGCTACCTTTGAAGGTGACCAGGAAACTACAACTAATCCACACTAATGTGTGACATTTTAGTGTATTTTTTGTCTTTGTTGGAAGCCGCCCAGAGTGGCTGGGGAAACCCAGCCAGATAGGCGGAGTACAACTAATACATTATTATTATTATTATTATTATTATTATTATTATTATTATTATTATTACTACCCAGTTTTGCAGCTACAGGTGCAACACAACATTTCTTCTCTTTGCGATCCTCCCAGTGGTCATTCCTCCTCTGATCACTGCTGTGGACACATGACTTGTATGCCTGTCTCCAGGCACTGGAGATTGACACATGGCAAGGTGGATGTTGCCAGCCTTCATGTCATGTTTGCAGGCACCTTTGTAACTCAGAAGAAAAATTAGGAGAGAAAACTGGCAGAGAGTCAATCTGCACATGGTCAGGAGTTGCGGAAGGGAGGACTTGCACCCTGAACTGGTTAGGCTGTTTCATTTTTTATTTCCCAGGCTTTAGTGCTTCATTGTTGTCATGTGGTTGTGGGGGAAAAACAACCCAAGAACTCTTTAGGGCAAGTATGAGTGGCGGTGCTGGGGAATCAATCATTTTGTAAGTATTGTGTGGAGATGAATGACTTAACATCATTTGAGGGGTATTGATCACGCTACATAATAAGATTCCGCATTTCAATTGCTTGAAGATTGATGTCGCGAATGCAGATAAAGCGAGGATTAGGGACGCTAAATTCGATCAAACGAGGACTAGATTAAGTAAAAGCCTGCCAGTGTTCATTAGGAAGTGGTGTCTCAGACAGAATCCAGGGGAAATGGGAAGAGATGCCCATGCTTGCTCAGGGGATCATGGTCTATTCAAAGAAAGCCCGCATGAAAATAGGGGCCCATGAATGAAGCATCTGGGGCAGAATCCAAATGAAATACCATAGGGCAATAATAGCCTTCCCAGGGGACTCAGGTTCAGCCCCAGGGATTTGTGGGCCTCTGGGAAAAGTCCTGG